CCTCGACACCGCAGACATTTTGACTGCAAGCTTCGGACAGTGATAAGTTCTGCTCCTTCGGATTTCTTAGCGTCATAGGCAAGAAAAGTAGTGACCCGCAGTAAGCTTCGGTGCATGCTGGAATGGTATTGACTTCGCTACTGGTACTTGAACATAAAAAGAATCCTCATTTAAGCTTGAAGCACCTTAAGCGGTTGTCAACTGTCAGTAACGAGTCACAAGGTCGTCTTTTTGCATAGATTATAAATGACGCTACCGGCTGAACTATTTCGTCCATGTTGATCATACTTTTACGTGAAATAAGAATGACGACTCGATGCCTGACATGGAAATCCTTTCATTGCGGACCAGCAAAAACTAACGGATTGAAAAAGGTAGTTATCAGTAATAAGCAGCCAAAGAAAAAGAATCGAACAATTTAATTCGAAGGTGGTACCGAAAATTCAACATCTTCGTGTAGTAGAAAGTCCTCTTACGCACTTAGGCTAACTCGGAATTCAGCCGATTCCAATGTAGACGGCCGCTTAAGTGAACGCACATGCAATTAACCGTGTGAACATTTAGCATCTATTCGTTGTCAACAGCTGTTCTTTGTTCGACTGATGACAACAAATGCTTCATTCTGATGCCCTTCGTGATACAGGTCAGTTCACAGCTTTTGTTACTGTTCATCAACAAACCGCTCATATTTTTGTTTGGACATATCACAATTGACCAGGCGCTCGTCCGTGCTGTCAGATGCAAAAATCTATAACGGCTCAGATTTGCTTCTACAAACTTGATAGCCGACCATCCTGGGTAATGATAAGCACAAATTATAACCCAGATTTCCGTATATGACGCAGACAGCAAGGGTAATGACAATAATCCAATTCTCGTTGAGGTTGAACAACAGTTGTTACATGACGTAGCCATATGGAACGCCGAAGCTACGCAGGATTATGTGGAATATTAAATGAGCGCCATTTTCCAGAATTGATTAACTGTTACTTCTTTGAGGAATAGCCTGCTTGATTGTCCTCCAGGCCAGAAGTGTAAGTTGCTGGCACCTGCAGAGTCTTGTAGATGCGTTTGTGCAAAACATCACGTCGCTCGATGTGAAATGCTGATGATTAGTCAATAAAGTTGGCTTCTGCTGCAGCTCCTTGATAATCTAATGCAGACGCAAAGTTGTAAACAACTAGGAATAGTGTCAAGTGGGAGCGCAGAGAGAAGATATATACAACAACTGTAGAGTCAAGAATGTGGAGCGTAGAGTTCTGTAATAAACAGAATCGTCAAAGGTAGAGAGACATGCCGTGAACGCTAACTGTTTGGTGTTCGTGTCACTTTCCAATTATACCTTTCCACTGATTCGAGATCTTTAGGCAGCCCTCACGTCATTTCGAGGGTCTGGTAATCACCTGGTTCAGTTGAAATTACCGACTTTGGCATTGAAGTAGTTTTAGCAAGGTGCCAACAATTCGGGATAGTTTCATCATATGTGGAGCCTTTGTACACCTTTCGAACAATGCCAATGAACCAATTTCTACCATTAACAGAAACTTTTTGCAGCAAGCCGTGAGGTGAGAAGAATTCTTCTTCGCAAGCGGGACCATGCAATGCAGCACTTCCACCTCACCGAAATGGTGTGCTTTATATATCTGACAAGATGAGAATATTTGCCCGTATTACGCCTTAATGATTGAAAAATCAGGCTCATAACGTAACATGCAGTTATTAAAAGTATCCAGGTTTCTAGATAGTTCAGATGAAGGAGGCGTGTTTTCACTGAACTGCCGAATAGTAGTCCAGAGTTCATTAGATTTTTTGCAGGCTAGAATGTTCTTCAAATGAAGGCATGAGAAGACCTAAAATTCTCGACTTATCTGCATGCGAAGAAATTTACATTTGCCAGTGTCTTCATGACTGTACGATACTTCTTTTCGTAATGACGCAGTCGTTTTATAATATTAGTGGCAGCAAATTTTGTGCCGACCATCAGTTCTTGAATTGGATAGCAACTCCTTTTACAAAATTGATGCAGTCATCAACTGTGTTTGAGAGGTTCCCCAAACAAAGTTCAATCAGTGACAGGAACCAGGTTCCTCAACTCATCGATTTCTTCGAATCGAAGAAGCTTACGACGGAACTCGTGTTTTCAGTGTCCGACGCCGTTTGCGTAGCTAACTTAATTTTTAGATATGATGCTGATGAGTCAATACAATGATATGAGTCGGCAATTAGTGCTAGAAGTCTGATCCAAAATAATGATGGCATGTTAGTCAGCGCATTGTCAAGCTTGTACGACAACGTGTCAGGAAATTAGTCAGGGAGTCGCAGCGAGATGAAAGAAGGAAGGTCATACCTCTGAAACCGCTAGCCACTATGCAGAGATCGTACCCTGAGTGTTTCGAAAAGTTTGCTGAAGTTATCAAACTTAGAGGGGCATGATGGCGTCATGTAGATATTTGCGGAACTGCATTTAGAAAATAACACAATAAGGTAATCGATTGTTGAAGAATAAGACACTAAACATGGTGAGCTGAACATCTGAATAAAACGAACGTTAAGCAGGTGGAACCCCATACTAGATTAACCCATCAATCAACTATGCTACCACGTGATTTAGCTATACAGTTGGTATTTGGTGAAATATCACCATTTCACCACAGCATACTCAATTGCTTAACGGAGCCAAGGATTCCTAAATGACGAAAGCGCAGAACACGGGCAGATCGGTCGAGCTTTTCATTACTTGTTATACGTTGTTTAGCTTGCTCGTATATGTGGGGATATTAGTTGATAACACGGAAGAAGTTTTAATTTTCGACGATGCTGATGTCACTGGTTCATGCCAACCTGCTGTCTTTGCCTGGTAGCGTATGTGTCAATTCAATATACCGTGTCTAGCAAACGTTTTATTTCTTTGGTTGTCAACATGTTCTGCACTTAAAGAACCTTGAAAGAAGAAAAATTTATTCATGGGAGAACTGCCGGTGATCAAACCATTACTACAAAATTCAGGCACCACTTCAACCGGAATTTCTGCCCCTTTAGACACATTTGAAATACTGCATTGGTAGTAGCGGCCGCTAGGCACAAATTATATAGGCAGTGCCAAGTGAGACGAAGAAAACCGACAATGCGCTACATTACCACCGCTCGGCATCATCACAGTTATAATGAATAAATTAAATCATTGTTTGAAACGAATCGCTAGAATATTCAATTTACAGCAAAGCAAAGTAAGATTCTGACGTCAAAAATGGCATG